AGACATTAAATAAATCATCTTGTAACCACATATATAAATGCAATCTGTGTTAAATGCTACAAAAGAAACAACAGGGTACCCAAGCTAGACTGGGGTAGAGGTTTCAGTTATTTAATTGTGGAAGTGATATTTGAGCTGGGCCCTGACAGGTGGAGAACTGGGACCTAGGGGTGGAGGCACATTCCAGGAAGAAGGACTAGCATGTGCAAAGGCCACAGTCCGAAGAAGGAGGAGTGAGTGGATACCAGTTACGTGTCCACTGGTCTGGTCTAGGTGTGGGTGAAGGGGCGCAGACTACAGTGGTAACAAAGGGGATGGAGACAAGCGAGCAGATGAGAATGGATCTGACACAGAACTGACAGGCTGTAGAGTTAGGACTGAGAGAGAGCATAGAACAACATAAAACAATTGGGAGAATATGACCTTTCACTTAAAAACCAGGACACCAAACAATATACAATTCAACTAAGTCCAAAGAAAAATACAGATATGAGAAGCTGGCAGTATCCCATGCTGTAAAGTGACATGAGTTGTTTTTTTTTTTTTTTTTTTTTGTCAAAAAGAACCTTTATTACTTTTTTTGATTGCCACTTATGCTTTCTTGCCAGATGCCTTTGGAGCAGGTGCTTTCTGGGCTGGAGCTTTTTGACCCTTCTGAGCTTTTGGAGCAGGCGCAGCCTTCTGGCCTGTGGCTTTCTGGGCAGGAACCTTCTGGGCTGGAGCCTTTTTACTCGCGGTGGTCATCTTTTTTGCTGGAACTTTAGCAGCAGCAGCAGCAGCAGCAGCAGCAGCAGTACCCTTAGTACCAGGTGCTTTTTTGGGAGAAGCTTTCAGGAGAGCTGCCTTTTGAAGTTTCTTAACTTCATTCTTGATTATTCTGTTCCTCATTTTCTTTGCCTTCATAACTTTAAAACGATCAAAATCTGTCATCTTGGCTTTCCTTTCTCTGGCTTCAATCTTCTTGGCCCATCGTGTGGCTGCCCATTTTGTATTGATGTCTGCCTTCTGCCACGCTTGTCGGACATACTTCTGGCGGGCACTGTGTGGAAACTTGAGGATGAAATCAGTGAGCTGCATGCACTTGAAAGGCATGGCCTGTCTCCTCACTTGAGTGCAAGGTCCATCGACCAAAGCCCTGTTCTGATCAATAACATCTACAATCGCGACCAATTTTCCGGCATGAGGTCCAAAGGAGACGTAGGCCACCCGGCCAACCTCCACGAAGCGCCTGAACACCATGTTGGCGGCGTTAGGCGAGAAGGAAGTGACATGAGTTTTATACCTGGAAAAATACTTCTCAAAAGAAATGCATTGCTAAATTACAACCTGTCTAACTGACAGACAAAATAACCACTAAAAATGCTGACAAAAACCTTTAACTATACATACAGAAAAAGATTATGATATAACAAATTTTAAAGTACAAAATACATAATTACAGATACAACGTGAAGTTCTCTTTCTCTCTCTCTCTATATATATATATTTGTTTTGTTTTTAAAAACCAGGACACCAAACAATATACAATTCAACTAAGTCCAAAGAAAAATACAGATATGAGAAGCTGGCAGTATCCCAATAACAAAACATGCTTCTACGACCTTGAAATGGCCTCTTCAGCTTACAAACTTGAATGCTACCATCACTTTAGTGACTGACTCTAGGTTACCCT